ACATTTTTAGAATTTCTGTTTTTTAATGGGTAGGTTTCTAATAGCAAAACATGCTGTCTTGTTCAATATCATGTGTTACAATATTTTATAAATGTTTGCTTATTTTCATAATCCTAAAGGAAATACTTGTTTTCAACTTCAAAACAGATTTCTGTTATTTATATGAGCAGTTTCCAGTTGTGTTGAGTAGAATATCAATTTTCTATTAAATAGTAATTGGTATTCTGGGAAAAAATTTCCTGCTAGAAGTACCTTTTTTCCCCTCCAAAAATAATTTTTGACAATATATGTAAGAAAAATTCCAGATACATTTAGTTGGCTCATTATCTTCTTGCAGTAGACTATAAGAAGTGGTGTGGCATACCTGAGAATTCTAGGAGGTCACAGGAGAGGTCATTTGGGGTATGAATGAATGAACCTATTTGGGAGTAGATGTAGGCAGCATTTACCAATGAGCAATTACAATGTATGTTGTCTACTGCACCTTTCATTTGCTGTGTCTTGTCCTGAAATTTTAATATGTATTTGTGACATTATTTAGTGTCACAAATAACCACACTTATGAACCCAATTTTGATAATTTCTCATGGCCACTAACCTGTAAGACCATTCTGAAGCTTCTTTGATCCAACTGCATCTCTTGAATTCCTGTTGCTGTTTCATCAGTGTGTTACTTTAAAAAGTGCTCTGTATTAGGAAATAACCATTTCTTATGCATTAAAACTCTTTTTAGTTGTATTTTTATTAGTGGTTGTGCTCATTTCTAAATGTAGATGGATTTCTCTTCTAGTGAAGCCTTGATGTTAGTAAGTGCCTGGAAGCCAGACCCCCAGGGCAACATAATTAACCATCAGGGATGATTGTTGGATTGACTACTGCCTCATCAAGTTTTTAAAAAAAATTTTTTCTTTATTGATCTTAGAGAGAGGAAGGGAGAGGGAGAGATAGAAACATCCATGAGAGAAAACATCGATTGGTCGCCTCCTACATGCCCCCCACTGGGGACTGGGCCCACAACCCGAGCATATGTCCTGACTGGGAATTGAACTGGCGACCTCTTGGTGCATGGGTCGATGCTCAACCACTGAGCCATACCAGCAGGGCTCACCAAATTTTTCTTTATGTGTAAACATTATGGTACAGGCCACGTAATGCAAGATAAGATAAATATCAGGTTTCTAAACTGATCTTCTAGGGATCAAATGTTACATTAACAACTGGTGTCTTCAAATTGGTTTGAGTGCCACTTAGTAAGGGTAGAATAGGGGGAAGACAGTGACCTTGCCTAGTTTCATAATTATAGCTTTATAAATAGATTTTAAATACCTGAAGGATAGAAAATAAAACACTGTATTTTTGTTTTGTTGTTGTTAATCCTCACCTGATGATATTTTTCCACTGATTTTTTTTTTTTTTTTTTTTTTTTTTTTTTTATAGCGATAGTGGAAAGGAGGGAGGGGGAGAGAGAGAGAAACATAGGTGTGGGAGAGACACATTGATTGGTTGCTTCCTGCACGACCCCAACTGGGGCCCGAACAACAACCAAGGTACCCACGTGCCCTTGACTAGAATCAAACCCGAGACCCTGCAGTCCACAGGCTGATGCTCCAACCACTGAGCCAAACTAGCCAGGGCAGTATTTTCGTATAGAAACAAAAAACTATTCTCTATTGTTGTTGTGGTAAGGTTTTAAAATCTTTGAAATCCTAAGACAGCTCTTGATTGTATGTGTTAATTGTACATGTATTCTTTTAAAAAAAAAAAATGTTTTTATTGATTTTTTTTTTCTTGTGTCGAGGGCTGACTTTCAATAGATCACAGAGAGGGAGCTGCTCTGCTGCATACGAAACCCTGACTTTTTATTAATTTTTTTTAAAGAGAGAGAAATACTGATGTGAGAGAAACATTTATTGGCTGCCTCCTATGTGCCCTGCTCCAGGGATTGAGCCCTGAACATCGAACCAGGACCTCTCAGTCCATGGGATGAGCTCAATCCACTGAGCCACACTGGCAGAGCTGTACATGTATTCTTGTATTTTGGGTCAATGGAACATATGCAGAAAGTTTGTCCTCTCTATGGATATAATCTGTGAAGGAAACAACACTTTACTGAATGAAAATGCTTCACTAAAGCATGTTGAAAACGTCCTCGGAGATTTCTTTGTCCACAGAATAAAAAGGTTTTGTGAAAAATAATTTCAGTGAACACTCAGTATGTGCTAGGCACTATGCTGTTTTACCTATATGCTAAAATTTTTATATTAAGTGGCTTTAAAGTTGACATTGTCATATAATTTTGTATTTGGAACTTGAGCTATTTGGGTTAAAATTCTTCAAGCAAATTCCTAACAAACAAATCGAGTGTGGATGTGCAGTGGGTGATTTTTAAGCTTAAATATCTCAGCTGGATTTAATTACCTTGTGGGATAAGGCTACATGATGGACCAGTGGTTTACCAAATTATTTTTCATTTTCTGAATCTTGATGTCACTAAAGGTTACTACGTCCTCTTTTCTCTACTAGAGACTCAAGTTCAAAATCCATTTTAGAGCATAAGTGTGAATGAATTTGCTGTTGTTTTTTCTCCTTGGGGACACTTTGGTCATTTTGTGAGGCTGCCTTTCCATTTGGAATTGCTGGCAGCCTGCACAAGGCCAGGGGCTCTCGTAGTGGGGGCAGCTGCAAGTCGGCATGAAAATGAAGTGGCAGGCTTCAGAAGGCAGAGCTGGCCAGGGCTTGTCACTCTTTCATTCTCTGATTCATTCTTGGGTAACTTAAGGAAACTTATTTGCTGCTGACGTTTGCTTGTAGCATATCACAGAACAAGTGATCTGTTTGTGGGTAAGTCATTGTATTTCCCTGTCCATCTCAGGGCAGCTTGCATTTGACAGCTCCCAAGCGTCCATATTCACCGTCCACAGCTCCTCCGGGACTGTGTATATTGGTGCAGATCTCGGATCAGCACTTACCACCCGTGCGTTTCATGGCTTTCATTGTTGCTTTTGTCTACATGCTTTATTTTTCAGGGGCATGTTTATTTTCGTAAGTACATTTAATGTTTTTACCCTGAACTAAGTATTATTAGTTATTGCCTTTATTTGTACATGTTAGGAATATTTAGAAGTAAGACCTAAGCAGGTGATAGTTACAGCATGCTAATCCCTTCAGGGAGCTTGTGGTCATCTCTTCTCTGTTGTTGTTGATACATTTGCATTCTTTGTGTTTCTCTACCTCCCCTTTTGTTCCCCCCAGGGGACCCAGAATATTCTCTTCACTTGAAGTTTTTTTCATGAAAAATATATAAACTCTTTATACATAACGACATAAATATAATTTCATATACATGGATACATGGATCAGATCATATGTGCTGTGTTTTGCTTTTGAAACCTATACACTTTGATTTACAAATGAATTGCTCCAGGTTTTGAGTCTCTGTCTTCTCCATTTGTTGTAGGCGTTCCTGCACCATGTTTGTTTATCCAATCCATTTGTCCTAAAATCTCCTGAATTGTACTTAACACCAGGAGTATCTCCCCCTCCATATTTTATCTTCTGTTCACTGTTCAGATCCCTTTTCCTCTGTCAGACTGGTAAGGCAGGGAGTGAGGACTGCTGTCGTCCGCCTGCAGCGTTCCTGTAGAGACCGCGTTGACCTGTGTGCGTGAGGAAGAGAGAGAGAGACTACCTGGGCGTAGACACGTACACTCGGGCTGACCGAGCTCCCGTTCGTGGTCACCGTAAATTATCACACAGTTCATGGTGTGCTTCTATGTAGTCTTAAAAAACTAGCTTTGACAGTTGATTTAACACATGGGTCCATGAATTCTTGTGAGAATATGTATGATATAATCATTTAATTGGGGAGGTAATTTTACTTGTGTCCACTGATAGGCAATTTATGTGGGAATACATTGTACGTATGGCTTTGTTGTGGTACTTCAGATACCTTCATGTTTATCTTCATCAAGATTGTTTTCTTCAGCATCCCGTGTCTCAGATGATAAATCCTTCAAAGGCAGAGCTAGGCCTGTGCACATTGTGTGGTAGGCCCCCCTCATTCACAGGACATATTCTGAAATTCCCCACGGGTAGCACTGAACCCTGTGTAGACTGATTCTGCCTTTAGGTGTAGACCTGTTATAAAGGTTAACTCATACATTAGGCAGTTTCACAGAAAGAAGATGAATGTTCTTACCATAGATTTTAGCCATCTCAGTGTGACATTTTTTTCCTTTCCTTATTAACTTGAGAACTTTCACCTTTTCACTTAAAGGAAGCACTTTATGGCTTCTCTTTGGCATTTTCAGTTTGCCAGCGTCCCTACTCTTGCACGTTGGGGCCATTATTAAGCAAAACAAGGATTACAGTCGGCCCTGGTTTATCGCGGTTAATCAGTTCCAGACTCTACCGCGAGAAATGAATTTCCGCAGAGTAGGATTCTTTATTCAGTATACAGTCGTCCCTGGGGACTTTGCGACTGGGCTTTCGTGGCTTCACTCTGTCATGGTTTTAAATACTATGAAGTGCGAAGTGGCGACGGACGACTGTAGTTATCACAGTATTACTTATCACTAGCACTGTGACAACCTGACAGTTGATTTGATAACGGAAATGATTACTAAGTGACTAACAGGCGGATGGTGTATACAGTGTATACACCGTGGATGTAGGGGTGATCCATGTCCCGGGTGGGATAGACCTGGATGGTGTGAATTTCATCACACAACTCAGAAGGGCATGCAGTTTAGAACCTAAGAGTTGTTTATTTCTGGAATTTCTCCATTTAATATTTTTGGACCTTGGTTGACCACAGCGAAGTGAAACTGCCGAATGTGAAACTGGAGATGGGGGACTACTATACTCCACAAAGTCTCATGTATGCTTACAAGGCTTCCATAATTCTCTTTTGACGTTATCTTTTAAAAATAATAATCCTTATTTATAATATTGCCAGATTATTTAGCTATTGTGCTTACCCATCTTCCCCCCCTTTTCAGGTGTCAGCAGTCCAGTCTTTGGAGGGCCCCCTGCTCCAGGTGGAAGGACTGAGTGACCTGAGGCTGGAGCTTCACAGCAAGAAGATGAATCTTCACTTGGTTCTCATAGATGAGCTGCACCGGCACCTGTACATCAAGTCCACTAGCCGGGTTGTCCAGCGTAACAAGGAAAAAGGGAGAATGAGGTTGGTTAAAGAGGCTATTTGCTGCAGTGGACTGTGGCAATGTCGGCTTTTAAGGAATATTATTTGTTTCCCAGAGTATTGTCATTTATTTTACCTTTTTTTTAACATACTGTCTTCAAAAATACTTCGTATTCTGAAAGGCTGACGTTCAGAGTTTGTTTATTTCTTCATTGCCCATTTATTATGGTCCTCTTACGTGAAGTTACATAAGAAACATTTACTCTGGGCCTTTAATATACTGGGTCAGAGATACTCTGGTTTATCTCAGAAAGAAGAGAAAAAACATTTTTTAATTGGCTAGTGATGTCGACGTAATTAAGAAATCTAGATGTATGAACTAAAGTTACAAGAGTCTTTGTTCCTTAGGGTTGTGTTCAGCTTTCGACAATCCTTTTTCTGGAATAGTTCAGGAGAGGCCTGTATTGAAGGGCCTGGGGTGGACTGAAGAAATTCATTAGGTTGGTGTAGACCTGGTAGGGATGAGGCCAGATCTAAAGACAGTTAAGACAGTAGAACATTGGCATCATTAACATGTAGCGGAGAGCTGTGCACGTCATGAGGCTCCTTTAAAATAGCCAAGGCCTTTGCAGAGGACAGTTTAGCACTAGCTCCTGCAGTGGACTTGTTCTCCTTGTTCGTTAGCTGTAGACAAGAGGATACTGAAAGCAGCGCACGCTGGCCGTGAGATCTTTAAAGTCCCGTCCTGTTCGAACAAAAATCGCCAGCTCGGCATGTGGTGCTTCAGGTTAGACGGAGACACTGGCAGAGGAAGAGTGGCTTCTGTCCCCTTTCTGCATATGGGCACTAGAGAAACTTCTGCCAGACACTCAAGTTGAGCTCAGGGTTGTGTACCTGAGACTTAACGTCACACTGGGTCTGAATAGAATAACTGTCAGTACTTGAGCAGAGGCTAGTGGCTGGGGGAGCAGGGCTTAGGAACCCCCTTCCATGGGGTCTGGTGGTACATAAAAGGTCTGAATAGAATTCTTTCCATGCCAGGATTTAAAAAAGAAGACTCAGAGTCCTGTGAAAATATTCTTTACTATTAGGAAAAGTGAGCACTACCTTGAGGTCTCAGAAAAGAGCAATTGTTTGAAAAACAATTTTATAAAGCAAAACAGCACAACTTGAAGAGATGGAAGCTCAAGGGTTCTCAGAAAATGGAAGATGAGCCTTGGCCAATTTGGCTCAGCGGTTAGAGCATTGGCCTGCGGTCCAGAGAGACCCGGGTTCGGTTCCCGCTAAGGGCACGTACCTCGGTTGCAGTTTGTCCTCGGCCCTGGCTGGTCGTGTGGGTGGCAGCCACTCAATGTGTCCCTTTCACGTCGATGTTTCTCTCTCTCTCTCTGTTCCTCTCTCTCCCTCTCACTCTACCTGAACAAAAAGTGGAAAAATGTCCTCGGGTGAGGATAAAAAAAAAAGAAAATGGAAGATGATGCAATAGATTAGATTACTTTTCAAAATGATCACTCCTCCTCCATCACTTTAGTGGGAAGATTGTATTTCTTGCTCTTTGATTTTGGGGCTCTTGCTTTTGGCAGTTGATTAGCCTGTGGCACAAGGAGGGACCGGAAATGGGCTTGTGCCCTCTCGTGCCCCTGCCGGCGCCATGATGGCCTTGGTCCCAGCAGGAGGAGGAGAGACTGAAACCGATCCAAGGCCACTGACCGCGTAGCCGGGAGCAGCCGGCCATCACGTGCACTGCTTCTCGGCTGTCACTGCGAGTCTTCGGTTCTGCAGTACACGTGCGTCTGAGAAGCATTAATGGGGAGTGGTAGGAATGGAAACAGGAACAAAATACAAGAAAAACAAAATAAAGTGGGGAAATGAAGCCTTGTTCAAAACATCAGAGAGAAGAGTGGAATCAGTGATGTGAAGGGAAAACATCCTCATTATGAAGAGGGAAGAGACGGGATGACAAAAGAGAGAGAACGGGTATGAAAGATGGAGAATAGTGATCAACTTGGTGATTTTAGGTATTCTACCAAATTTTAATGATATAATTAAAATTATAGTGTTATGTGCTGAATGGTGTTTCTCTAAAATCCATATATTGAAGTTCTAACTCCCAGTACCACAGACCATGATTAAATGTGAAGATAGAGTCTTTCAAGAGGTAAACAAGTTAAAACGAGGACATTAGGGTGGGCCTTAATCGAATATGACTGATGTCCATATAAGAAGAGGAAATTTGGACACAGACTTGCACAGACGGAGGACCATGTGAAGACAACAGTGATAAGATGGCCATCTACAAACCAAGGAGAGAGGCCTCAGAGCAAACCAACCCTGCCAGTGTCTTGACCTTGGACTTCTAGCCTCCAGAGCTGTGGAAAAAGAAATTTCTATTTGTTTAAACTATCCAGTCTGAGATATTTTGCTATGATAGAAATAATACTTATAGTGTAAATAAAGAAACCTACTTAAAATGAAAAAAAGACTTTGATCTGCAAATCAAAGAACTCAAGGTGAAATTAATGAAAAATATTACTCTTAGATACGATCCAGAAATTTTTATGAATTTCAAAAACAAATTCTGTAAGCACTGGGAAGAAAATTGATGTTACCTGTTGTGACTGAGCTAGTTATTTGCTCACCCACATCCATTCTCCCCTTCTTCATTTTTAGAAGCAACCTTATTTTGTTCTTGGTGGCCATGTGCCCAGCTACAAGGCTACATTTTCTAGCCTACTATATTGCTAAAGGTAAATAGACTTCTGCTTGCAAGTTGCTGAATTGGGGCTCATAGGGAAATTCTTTAAAGGTGCCAACTAAATTGGCATGCTCATTCTTTACCCTTCACTTGCCTGTCTTTACTTCCCATGGAGGACATGGATTGGTGCCATCAGTCTGTCTTAGACATGAGGGGACCTTGAGGATGGAAGCCACATTTTAATCTCTTTAATGACTTGGACCCTTTGTTATAGCCCTGAGTTGGTTAAATCTTGTTTATGACAGGGAGGGAAGCCTTTGTTGTACTCAGGCCACTACTATGTGGGTCTTCTGTTTTATACAGTTAGTCTAGTCCTGATCCACAGAAAGGAGGAAACATCATGCTCCCCAGGACTTACTGATTAGGAAATGCCAGAATACAGCAGACACAGCTAAGTTGACAAAGTGTTGAATGGGGATGAGTTGGGACTAAAAATTATACTCAGCCAAGTGGAGATTGAGATGCATGGGTGCCAGAGAGACATTCTCAGATATAAGTGAACAAAAAATAAATCACTCTGTTATTTTCTGAGAAGGCTACACAATGATGTACTCTGAGATAGAAATCAAATTCAGCAACTTGAGAACAGTAACGTTGTAGGTAGTTTATAACTACTCTGAGGACTACACATCATTAAATATGTAAATTTACATAAAAGTAACTGACTAATCTATTTTTACAAGGTAAAAGTACTAGCCTAAAATTATTTTTGAAAAAGAAGGTCAAGCAGCAGTCTAGTTTCATTCATTTGCATGTGGCTTTCTATTTTCCCCAGCACCATTTGTTGAAGAGGCTTTCTTTTCTCCATTGTATATTTTTGGCTCCTTTGTTGAAAATTATTTGTTCATATACATATGGTTTTATTTCTGGCTCTCAATTCTGTTCCATTGATCAGTGTGTCTGTTTTTCTGTCAATACCTTGCTGTTTTGATTATCATTGCTCTGTAGTATAATTTGAAGTCAGGTAGTGTGATACTTCTTGGCTTCGTTCTTTTTTCTCAGGATTGCTTTGGTTATTCAGGCTCTTTTGTGATTCCATACAAATCTGATGAGCTTTTGTTCTATTTCTTTAAAAAACGTGGTGCTTATTGTCACTGCAATGGCAATCATATTACAATATATAAATGTTTCAAATTAACATGTTGTACACATTAAATTTACACAATGTTATGTCAAATATATTTCAAAAATAATAACATGATAAAAAATAAGGTGTATGTGGTCAAAGAAGACTGTATAGTAATAAACAGGATTTATATCTCAACATTGTTAGTAGAGATTGGGAAATTTGGATAGGCAGGAGATAGAAAGGAGTCAAGTTTTATTTTGGATTTTAATAATTAGAGAAAATATGTTTAATTCATATACATTTGTGTATATTAACCTAGATATGTGTATTTAAAATTTTATATTGAAAAGTCTGTAAAGAAGACAGCAAATAAGGCCTATTGTATGCTGCAAAGGTGGATGTATTAGCTAGTGTTCTGGACTGCAAATAGCAAAGTCAATCACGGTAATTAAAACAAGGAAAGGAATCTAGTGTAGGTCACAGAATCTAAGAGAAGGACCTCTGTATACTCATGCGGTAAAACCCAGGCAGGACCAAGGGAGATGAAGCTGCTGAGCACTCAGCACACACAAGTCACAGGAAGGCTCTGGCTGGCTGCACTGCTGTGCTGTTGGCGCCGTGCCAACAGTTGCTGGATTTTCAACTCTTGGCCAAATGATCTCCGAGTGTCCCCGAATCTTTTCTTATCCCCTCAAGAGTCAAAGTCCTGGGTGGAAGCATTCAGTTTGTTGAGCCTGGGACCTGTCTGGCTTCCTTCAGCTTTTATAATAGGAAGTAGTGTCCTCTTTCTTTGTTGCTTTGACCTGGACAATGGAGTGTCTCTCCAGATACAGAGACTGTTCTGATTGTCGGTATCCAAAAACAAACACGCAGATACCCAGCACGCTTCCACTGCCGGAGAAAAGGTATCACATGAAAGCACATACATATGAAGAACAGATAGTTTTGAAGTAGAAGTTGAAAAGAATTGAAATGATAAATATTTAAATCTGTATCCTTTATATATAGATATAGATGTATGTGTATAGAAAATTCCTGAAAGGATAATGCTGAAACACTGGTAAGAGGGATTACCCATGGGGAACGGGGACTAGGAAAGAAGGACTCATTCCATACCCTCTGCCTTGTGAGTATATTCATCCTGGACATGTATTATTACTTGCATAACAATGCAATGAGTGATGATGCTTTTGAAGATTATTTTTAATGACATGGCAA